TGTGGAAGCATGAGTGTTGTTTTTAATTCTATTTTTAGGCCTCACTTAGCTTGGGAACCTGTCACACTGCATTTGAAGTTGCTAAAGGTATTCCTTTTGGAGATAATTTGAAGGGGAGAAAATGAACTAGTATATAATCATGAGGAATGCATACAATGCTCTTGAATCTTAATAACCAACTTGTAATAGGAGCTGAATCTGTTGCTAAATACTTTTCTCTCTGAGCTTTGACCACCATCCATGTTTTCCCCTGCTCTAATTTCTTGTTTTTTTAATTCTTATGACATAGCTTGGACTGTATAGCTACATCATGGATGAAAGGCAGAATCTCCTCATACTATCTACCCTGTTTATACAGAACCAGACAGATTTATCTCTACTTTTTTCTTAGAGTGCATTTGTTAGGACCTTGTGGCACAACTAGCTTGAGGATTTAAAAAGTACCATGTATGTGATTTTCAGTATTTATATTTTTCAATCGCTTTTATCTTTTAAAAGCCATGGTGGCTGTTAAAATGCTTTAACCTGCAGGCAGAGGTGGTTGGTTTGAATTCCGAAGCCTTTTCTGCCTCATGCTGCATCCTTCTCCCATACTCTTTGTGATGGTGGTAGAATACTTGGTTTGACTTCAAAGCTGCAGAACATTCAGTGTTTCATTAATTAGCAATGACTTTGTTAGTAAAGCACAGATTGTGTGACAACAGCCAGTAGAACCTGGAAATAGGTATTCGTCTCCTTGTTAGTCCTTCTCACAACTGTAGGAATTATTTAATATAATGAACATATTTTCAGCAACAGATGTAATTTTTCAAATTAATTCTACTCATTTGTTTCTGTGACCTTTATCTAAAAGGTAATCCTTATTTGCGTTGTTAATTTGGGTAATATGAAGTCTGTTGAGGGGTAGAAATAAGAAAGGGTGGAAAATAACATAGGAAACACCTGCAGGTTTGTTTTTTCTTTTTTTTTTCCAAAAGAAGCTTAAGATGATATTATTTACAGCCAGTGTTCTGTTGTTTGTAGCCAGAGTAATAAATTAGATACTTTGATGTGTGCAGAGGAGTATGGAATCTTTGTGCCTTATGAAAGCTGGTCATAAATCACATCAGTTGGGAGGGTGGTTCAGGATCTGAGTGTTGAAGCTGGAACGGAGCAGTGGAAATGCATTGAATTGAATCTACGGTTACACAGAGCGAAACCTTCTCAGATTTATTGGCTTTTTGTTCTTGATCACGGACTGTTTCAAGTAAACATGTTTACATCCAGTTCCTCATGCACCTAGATAAACAGTACTGGGTTCAAGGTGAAATGCTACAGTTGTTAATAGCCCTCAGGATTGAGTGGAAGTGTATCACATGAGGATTTTGCAAGTTTTGTTCTCATTGCTGCCTTGAAGTGTAATAAAATTAGACTGGCATAATGTATGTTTTTACATTTGACAATATTTTAGATAATTCCTAGATTTTAAAGTCTACTTATATCAGATGCATGTAAAGGTAGTGTCACATACTTGAACCACTTCCCCTTCACCACCCCCAAGCACCTTTCAAATCAAAGAAGATGGAGCAGTTTTAAATGCAGCTTTGCACACACATCCATGCTATCCAAATGGATGCAAGGCTTCATTGCTGATATTTCCTGCAGAGAGCATGAGTCTGCAGCAGATTTGTGTTGTGCTGTTGACAGGTGAAGTTGAGTTTGGACGGTGAAGTGCAACGATTGGAGGTCCTTTTCTGCCAGTACCCCCACAAGGCAACTGCTATCACATAAATGAGACTCATCTCAGGGATAGCAGTGTGCTAAACTGCCTCAGGAGGAGTAACCTGAATGATTTCGTAGCCTTAAAATGCTTCTTTCTTAAGCTGCTGGGTTTTGCTGCTGATAGAAACTGAGTTACTGTGATTGCTGGAATTGTGCAATAATATTTCTTGATGCAGTTTGTGAGATTGCTTCCTGTAATGGTTGCTAAATTCAAGATAAAATAATTTTTTAACAATACAGGTAGGAGACTCAGTGTTAAAGTGTATGGTTTAGACCTTGGTATAACAATGAGCCAAAAATTGCTAGATTTGGTTAGAATGTTCTTTTTCTGTTGCTCAGTTGTTTTGTTTGCATTCAGTCTTTCTATCCCTTTTTGAGAATTGATCCTGTTTAGTTTTATTTACAGGTGAGAGGTTAAATGTGAGTGGGATCCAGTAAAAATCAAAACTCTCTGTTCTAGGGTGCTGCTAGAGGGTGGAAAAACTAGTGTAGGTTTTGACATTGTTCTGGCAAACTTCTTGCGTGATTCAGGAAGGAAGCCAAGTGCCTTCAAAACATGAGAGATGCACACCCAAGTGCCTTCAGGGTATGCAGAAGTTCAGGGATAGGTCACTAGTGGTGACTTGGCATGACATCTGGCATATGCATGTGAAAAAAGGAGTATTTTGGGAATATTATCAGTGCTGTTTCTTGCTGGGGGGTGGGGATTGGAAACAATTGATTTTCTTTGAGTGTTAGATTTATAAACAAATAAATATTTTAAATAAATGGAAAGAAGCAGTAGGAATCTTAACCCCTCTCAGATTTGTTGATGTGAAATACCTTCCATGTATTCCCATACATATTCCTATAAAGCAGATGCTTTATTGTTCCTAAATTTTTGTGATGATTTTGTTCCTTAGTATGGGCTTCATAGGCCTGTTGTTCTCAGGGTTCTCACTAAGGTGTGAGTCCCTGCACCCTGTGTGGCACCCTGGAGTGTGAGAAGTGTGCATGAATGTGCAGCAAGTGTGCAGGACAGTGGCAGGCTGGTGGCTGGCTTGCCCTTTGGGCGGGTAGGAGCTGTGGGATTGCATTTCTCTCGGGCATGGAAGGTTGCAGAGCTGGGTCCATGGCGTCCTGGGGGAGTTCTCCATGACTGGGCACCTGTGTGGTTGCTCTGCAGGAGGACTTCAGGCAGCTGAGAAAATTTTGCCTGTAACATGAAACTGTTTTCTTCTTTCTAAATATAGAGCAGTCACTTCTATTTTCATTATAAATTTGATAAAATAATAGAGTGGAACAAAATTTGACATATAGGCATATAAAATACTGTATCTCCATATATGTAGGTGCATGTGTTATAAGTCTTTGATGTTTTTACAAGACAAAAAATTTAAAGACAGATTATTTAAAAATGTGTAGTAATTCATTGCATTGTGTTTGAGAAAAAAAACCCTCTTGAAGCATGTAGTGTTAGAAAGTAGCCTTGCGCAAGTTAGAGGAAACCCTGGAATTTCACCCATTTTCCATTCCTCCTGTGAAAACATGTCAGATTCCTTGGGATCTGTAGAAGGTCATAAACAAAATTAAGAAAACATGGTTCAGCAGAGCTGAATGAATGGTTGCAGACAATCACTTCTTAGGTTTCAGTTTACTGTGAAGTAGAATTAAAATGTTTTTGTTATTTAAAGAAAAATAAGTTCTTTTAGGAATAGCCAAGCTGAATTTTTTCTTGCACCTTGTCAGTACAGGATTGAAGCTTGTCCGTATGGCAGAACTGCTAATTGGGACTGTTCTCCTTCAGCATCCTATTGTGAAGGAGGGCCAGTCTGTGAAAAGGAAATGTAAAGATGGTCTTCGTAAAAATCATAATAGAACATACAACCTTATTTGCAAGGCTGAAAACTGCCTCAAAAACCTGTTATTCTGGGGGTAGTTTCTCTCTCTAGATCCTCTGAAGGAGATTTGTGTCTTTCAGGCATGCCATCGCGTAATGTTTCTATTTCAGTTAAGACTGTTTAGTTTCTTAGTCTTCAAAACCCTATTATTTTGATTGCTGGTTCAAGATGGAATCTGTTCTCTGTATGTCTTTTATTTGAACTAAAGTAAACTACTACTTTGACTATTGATTTAAATTTGATACAGATACTTGAATATTTAGAATATAATTTAATTTCATTTAATTTTTAAATATGTAGGTGTGACACTGCAGGGTTTTTTGGTTTTCTTTTTCAGCAGAGGTCAAAATCATTTTGGCAGGAGATAAGCTCATCTGCGTGGGATTGTATAAACTGAAAAGACATAGGAAGCATTTGAGGAAAGGGATGAGAGTATTAGAGTAGGGAAGACCATCTCTCGAGTCATCACAATCATCTGGGAGGTAGCAGAGCATAACTTCAGCCATGCTTCATTTTCCATCACCTAATAAGACATTTGGCCTTTCATGTCTAAACCCTGTAGGTAGTTTTCTCTGTGTGGCTCAATTGTACCTGCATTACCAAAATTGGCACATGCAAGAATTGCTGGCTTTGAAAGACGTAGCCCACTTAGCTGATAAAGGACTACTCCTCATGTCAATTCAGTATACATGCTACTGAAGTGGTATGTGACTGGTTAATGTGTTATTGTTACTCATTCTCTGTGTCTTTTCATAAATCTACAGCCAGTCATCAAAACCTTAATAGCAGTAAAAGATAAAAGATTCTTTTGGGCATTTGCTTCGTATAGAGTATTGCATCTTAGCAGTTAATTTTAAATAAGAAGTATTTTTTTAAATACTAATTATAAATAATGGGAAATTATTTTCCAATGTGTTTTTTATTTCATGCCTTTAAATGTATTCTAAAAAACAGTGGGACATTTGGCCCAAAATTCAGTAGACACTATGTTGTGTTCTCATGGAAACATCTGATTAGCAACATGGAGCTAACAGTTTAAGTCAAACTCAATAATACATTTGAATGTGATTAGTAAGTAACATAAACATCCAGAAAGGTGCTACAGGACTATATGCTTACCTGTTTAATGGCATAATTGCATTATTTCCTTATTCTTTTCCTTTATGTAAACACCAGAACTTGTGAATGACAGCAAATCATCTGGTACAGCTCTGTATGACTTACCTTGTACTACTGAGAACACTGTATATTGGATTTGTGAGAAATTTATTTTAGTTTCATTGCACTGTCCTTTGGCCTGTTGTAGGCAGCCCAGGGGCTTGCTGGATGACACATAACAGGCATCTGTGCTTTTTCCAGGTGTGGGCACTCCCCCGTGTACCGCTGCCGGGAGATGTCAGGCCGGGCCCTCGTTCCCTTCGTTATGGCCAACGAGGTTCCGCACACGCTGCTGGCCCTGCTGCGGGGACTCCCAGACTCTGCCACTCATGGCATGCGACAGAACAGTGTTCATGGAACCCTACTGCAAGTGAGCTCGGGGGGCTTGTTTTGCATTGATTTGTTTCTGTTATGTGGGGGGTTTTAAATTTTGTTTTTACTGTATGGGTTTTTAAAAGAGTTTTTGGTCATACTTGACAGCCAGATAACATACCATGAGTTGTGCTTAACATTCACACGTTGTCAAAACATACATGAAGACTGCTTTTGAGTTTATTCTGTCAGATGATAAATGCGGAATGCACAATTCAGCTGTCATTTGAAGGCAGTAAGCTGTAAGTAGTAACATTTGCATTTCATATAATGTTTCATCTCCAGAGATTAAAGTGCTTTAAGAGCAAATATTCCTATCTGAATGTATTTACAGAGAGATTTGTGTGACTTGCCCAAAATGACTGAGCAAATCTGAGGCAAAGCTGAACTCCATGCACCAATAGCATCGTGTATATATTCAGACTTGCTACTGACCCACATAATTATTTATTACTTCATTTGCTTTTCCTGCTATACCAACAGCTTCCTGTCAGTTTGCTGTACAAGTTGTGGTAAGCTTTATACTGTTGTCTTCTGGAAACATTCTGGAGAACAGCTCACTTATCAGAAATTTCTTCATTCTCCATCTGTCATTCCCCTGGTTTATGGCAGTCAGTTCACTGTGTTTCATTTTTAAGCTATCATGGTAATAAGTTACTGATTTTTATTGCCAGTTTTTCAACAACAAGCAACCCTCCAACAAAGCTATATTGTATACGATCAGCTCTGTTGGTCTGTCTGAGTTGGCAAGCTTTCTAGGGACATGTTCCCACTGTAAGCTGTGTGCTGGGGTGTGTATGGTTGTTTTGATTTGGTTCTTAATTGTATCTTTTCAGGCATATTATTTCCCTTTAAAATCAAGACTTTCAGGAAATCTAGGAAATGAGTGAAGTCCCTCTAGGGCTGTTAATGTCAACTTTACATATAAAGGGTTTCAGGCAGTTGAATCGGGATTTGAATGATAGTTGGTCACAGTAAAGGGTTGTGCAGGGTATGGGATGGGCTCCTGCTCTGGAAAGCAGTGATTGCACCTGATACATGCAAGGGATACATGCTGTGTCTGTGTGGGAAGGGGGAGATTGTCACCCTCATAGTTAGCTGGCAGCCCTGCTGTGTCACAGCTCCTGAAGTGTCAAGAAGAGAGGGTTGTTCCAACAGTGAGAATGAAATGCTTGCTCAGTCCAAAATGATTATAACTCTACTCATGAGGGTGTGGACTGGCAGTAGTGTATAGAGTTAATTGCCTTCTTTTCAGTTACCTGGGAAAAAAAGATAATAAAAATAATAATAATGGAGGGTGGATATGAAAGAGCCCAAAGGATGATCTAGTTTTTTAATATGTATTGCTAACATGATCTTATGCATAGATGTAGGGAGCTTTCCACACCTATGAGGTGGGAGATATTCCCAGAGCTTTAACCTGATTTTTCATGGGTTTTGATCAGTTACTAGGAGCTGCTACTTCAATTTGTACTGTGCAAGGCGAGACCATGGTGTCAGAGAATGATATTCTTCCAGAAAATGTCAGTTATACCATAACAGTTCAGTGGTTTGGTTTCTCACATTTGTGTTGGGATTTGCTGTTATCGCTTATGAATCAAGGATACTCAAAATATTTATTTAATTCTTAATTTAATTTAGTGTATGGCTGACATGTATGACAACTCTCTGTTGCTAATTTAAGATAAAAAACATTCAGAAGAAATACTTCATGATGGTAAAGATGTGCAAAAAATGGAGGCAAGTCAGTGGTGCTTGTTGTAGCTCCAAATTACCAGTGCAAGGTAGTTCAACCTGTAGTTAGCTTGCACCTCTGTTAGGCAGTACAAAGAGGAAAGTATTGTGGCATTTTAGGGGTTGCTGGATGCTTGGTTTCAGTTTTCTTTTTATCGGTGTTAATTGGGACTTGCAAATCTGGTGGTAAGGCTTATTGAAATGTAGAAATATGTTATGGGGACTATTGGTTAAAGCACTATTTCTCAGAAGGCTTTCTTGAAGAGATGATCTGGAAGTCTTCAAAATTGTTTGCACTGCTTTTCCATGACACAGTGGAGGATTTATCATCTTCCTTGATATAAAACCAAGACAAAAATCTCTACTGAAAAGAGCAAGTCTGTACAAAACTCAATAAAATACACATTTTTCCAGCAATACAAGGCCAATACCTTATGAAAATGGAATTGAGTAATTTGATTTGTTCAGTCACATGAGAAGCTACTAGGTTCATTGCTTGAGTTTTTTATTCCAGTGTTCATATACTGTCAAGTTCTGAAAAGGAAGGCTGGAATGATTCAGAATTAGTTGGCAGTGCCAGATGTAAATTGTGAAGGTATATTTCAGTTATGTTTCAGAGTTATGTAATTTATAGAAAGATCATTCAAAAACAGTTCAGCATTAGTGCTTGTCCAGACATGGCTTGTTTTCAAAATGCCAAGATTGCCAAGAAGTGCTTTTTGACAGTGGATGTGGATGTAGATGTGTTGTGTTTAACTTAAGACCTCTGCATTATGTGAAAACATGTCTTTTTCTCCATGGTGTTTTAACTGTGGCTCAGTTTGCATAGGAATATGAATGTCCATGAGGATAAAATAATGTTACGCTTTACAGGTTTTACAGAATAATTATTTTCAAGAATTATGTAAGGGGGATGCTGCTGTTCTGTAACACTTGGGGAGCTGGTTATATTCTTCAAGAAGCAGTTCTGCATCATTAGCAAATGCACTGACTTGAATAAGGCAACCAAAAAATCTTTTCTATGCTTAATGTTTCCTTTATGAGTACAGTTTCTGCTTTGCTCCATAAACCAAGTTGGCACGGGTTGGGGGAAGGAAATAAAGTTTCTAATTCACAAGAAAATGCAGACATTTTGTACTAGCTTTCTTGAATAGTGAAATATTTCTGGCTTGTTTTCTTTTTAAGATATAGGCTTTTTAGCTAATCAGCTGAAAGGAGGAGCTTATCCAGTGCTTTATGTAGGGACTTCTGGAAGAGTATCAAAATTTGACTAGGGAAGCCTTTATGTTTGTGAATCTTTGACTTGTAGCAGTTGCCAAGGAACTTACAAATATTTGGGAAGTTTGTGAGGTTTCCTTATCAGAGGATCAGATGTTCTTTTAACCTTCTGCCTCTTTTGGATTGGAATTTCTGTGGTATATATTCCATCTTTCCAGAAAAATTGAGAAATTCAGAATGAGCTAGGCAAGGCTGCCTTCTACTTTCACATCCTCAATCAGTCATTCCTTGGGTGTGATTGAGTTCCAAAAGAGCTCCTCTCCTTGTTTCCTCTGCTGCTTTTAGCAGGGAGTTGTCATCAGTGGTCGCTTGGAGGCCTCTGGGTTGCTTACATGGTGCTGTGTTGGTCACCCAGCAGCTGCCAGGGTGGATGAAGCCCCCCATGAGGAGCAGGGCCTGGTGACACAAAGCTATTTCCAGCTGTCTGTGGAAGCCCTTGTCCACTTGTTCTGCCTGGTTTGGCAGCTTGTAGCAGACACCTCCCTGCAGTGTCACCCACACTTCACTTCTTAGCTGTAAGCTCCCAGCTGGCTTATCATCCACCCCCAGGCAAAAAGCTTTGTGCATTCCAGTTGTTCTGCCACAGAGAGGTCAACCCCCATCTTCTCATCTTCCCTAAAGGACCTGTATCCCTCCATTGCATTACCCCAAACATGTCAGCTATTGTATCTTGCCTCTGTGATCCCAGCAAGATCACAGGCTGCAGCTGCACATGGGCCTTTTAATTCCTCTAATTCTTTAAACCCTTCCTTTGGGTGCTTCGAAATGAAGAAAAGTTACAGGGACCCTATAAAGATTTGTCCAGAAAACAAGGCAGCACTTTTAATTCATCTCCTTGTGGGTTATTTGTGATGATTAAAAAACCCTCCCAAATGCATAAACTTTCAGATTGGTTTGCCAGGGAAAGCAGATGTTAGACTTCAGCTTTTGTTTTTTTCTTGAGAGCATCAGTTAACATGATTGATGCTGGATTTCAAAGCCTGTGTGATGTTCATAGATGGAGAATCCAGTTGTTTTTAGTACAGTGGAATAGCAATACTATGACTGGAGATTTCAGTCACAGTTCTGCACTCATTAGTTTCCAGAAATCTTTTTCACATTTGTATACTGGAAAAATCTGTACTCCAGTGAGAGTGTATATACCCTTACATGCTGTTCATATCAAGAAGAATCCATTGGGCAGCTGCCATTAATCATGAGCAGACGTAATTACTGTTAAGGTTTATTTGTTTTTCAAATGAATGAATCTGCACATCAATTGACTCATTATCTTGTGTTTTATCAGTTTGATCTTCACATTCACTTTGGCAAGCCTACAGTTACATATTTTCAGAGCACAGGGGGTTAGGTCAATGAAAGTTATTAAAAGAGACATTGTATTTTCATTAACTTGTCTGTGCCTTGTTCTGAAATGTTGAAGGTGCTGTCTTACTTTCTACATGCTGACAGTGTCTAGTTTGAGATGGGATAGAAACCAGTACAAAAATGTTTGCTTCTCTTATTTGGCCATTCTATTTGAAGAGCTTTTTGCATTCTCTTTGGCATTTATTAAGCATGAATTAGGAGGAAGGGGGATTCAGTGACTTCTCCCTGATCACTTGCTGCTTATATATGGAGCGTACTACATGACTTTGTCTGTGTGCCTCCATTTGCTGCCTCCACCAGGAGATGGATTGCATGGTCCAAAACAAAGCTTTTGTTAGGAATTCCCAGCTGCACATATCATTAAAAAGCAGTTTCTGTCTTGAATCTGCATTGGTCATGATGAGTATTTTCATTTTTGGTGGTACTTTGTACAAGCAATCAAACAACTACATAAAATAAAATTTAAAAAAAATCCTCTGCTGTTCTGGCATGTTCTTGCAGATGGATTCTTCCTGTTGTGACTGGTTTTGGTCACTGCTGTAACTCAAAGTTCTGCTTTGAGTTACAGCAGTGACCAAAGCAGAAATTCTGCTTGCTCTGCTGGGGTCTCTAGGAACCTTC